TGTGTGTGTGTGTGTGTGTGTGTGTGTGTGTGTGTGTGTGTGTGTGTTTGGACAACAGCAGAGGGCAGATCTGAGGGGAGTTTTAAGGCTTTGATAAATGACCAACATTATGAGGAAATGTACCAGATGGGTAATACTGTGTACAATTATGACAATTACAACCGAAGAGTACTTTTTCATCGTTCTTTTTCTTGCTCGTGCACCTATTTATTTTGCAGAGTGATTTTACGATCCGTTCTGCTGCTAAAAGATATCGCTCATCTGTGTTATTTCTGAGGAGTGGAATCTTGTTTTTGTTAGCTTCCCCACAGGGTAAAGAGAAGACTCAATTATGTAAAATGACCAACAACAAAAAACTGCAAGAGGCCCTTAAAATTCCTCCACCTAAGTACATTTTGAATTTTTGATGCTGCCTGTGTACATTGTTTGCATGTTTATTCGTTTACATATTGTAGCTTCTCAATGCAGTTTCCATTTACGGCCTTATTCAAGAAAACATTATTGTCTCCTGTTTAAGCATTGTGTCCCAATGCAAAGGGACTTCATTGGTCTATAGGCATTATTTTGTCACTGAGAGAAGTGGCTTATTGTGAACCGGATCCGACTCCCTTCATCCCAATGTTAAAGGCCAGCTGCAAATTACATTTCGTCAGCCCTTTTTGTACTCAAAAATGTCAATGTGTTCTTTTTAAATGTAGTGTTAATAGTTTTTTATTGTTAAAAAGGAAGCAGATGGGTCTTTGGGGAAATGCTCCTTTTTTTCTCTGAAGGGGTACAAAGGGCAAGTGATTTCCAGAGCAGATATGTATGCAGCAGACAAAGAAATGTCCTGCACAAACACTGAGGGGCTGTTACTGACTGTGTTTTGATTCTAAGGTAGGCTGAAATTTCCAGGTTTTCCTTAAAAGAGAAATTTTACCCCATCAGACATTATTGCTGAATAGTCTGTTCATCCACGTTTATTTCAAATAAACCACAATATGGAAGGTATCTATGTCCTTAAATAAGTCATTTTACCTATATGCCCTGACAACACACGTGTGGATGCTCTATTTTTTATTTTTTTGCTCAAATGGACACAAATCAGTACATGCAGCTCTAACTGATGTCATATAAGGTTTATGTGCAGGGGATATACATTTTTTTGGATGATGATAATAAAAAGGCAGCAGTGTTACAGAAGAGCTTGCAAATGAGCAGACGTGCCAATAATTTACCTTCCTCCAAAACTGCAATATGTTCAGATACAAAACCAGCCTATACAAGCACCTCACATATGGCTAATAGCTCAGTCACCAGTGAGGGGAGCTCCACTGCTAAAATCAATATAGTCAGTTCAGTTTAAGTACTTGTTAAGTACAAGGCCTACTTTACACCCCGATAGTCCAGTATTTAGGAAACTGGTATGGATCAATCCAAGCACAACACTCCTCCTGATATACAGCAGCAGACTAAACCACTGCAGCAGATTCTGGGGAACTTATTGAAAGCCTCAGAGCAGACAAAGCCCTTATAAAATGTTACCTGACACCAAGTAGCAGAACACATCAATAGGTTGATGTAAGCTTATGATTTACAATGAATGCAGCTGCAGCAGTGGAATAAACCAAAGACAAGTTAACCATTCGATTCAAAAGGGTGTGAGCAAACGCAACAGTGACGTTTGAATCCAACGTTAATATTATTATATAACAGAGAGTGAGTAATACACAGCAGTCTGGGGGAATGATGACACAATTCAGCCCATTAACACTTAACATGTATGTAAACTACTTAACAGAAGAAGCAAATGTAGTGCAGAAGTCAAGTAAGAAGAATAAAATCAACATCAGCAGACAACAAGACATCACTTAAAGCAGATGAGCCAACAGAGAAGAAGTTCAACAGCATTCACGGACATGTTAGCACAAGCAGCACAAACACTTCACTTGGTGAAGCGGTCGTACCCCAGCGTCTTGGCACATAGTAAGTCCTTTGGAAATAGTCGAAATGGTCTCATTGTAAGTTGTCCACATGGATACTGTGGAAACACAATGTCCTCCAAAAAGCCATAATCTAACATTATATTAAGCTAGGCGGTGTCATCTAGTGGCAGGTTAGCTTCTTCATTAAATGGTACACGAGCAGCAGAAGTGGTGGCTAACAGTGTTTTGTGCTACAACAGTTCACAGGGGAGTCATTGTGAAGCCGCAGCACCAACAAGACACGTGGAGGACTTTAACCGTTTAAATAACCCGCCCATCAGGAAGGGTGCGTTGGATTTGTGTTGCAGCGTGTAGAGGGAAACTGAAAAAGATGTTCCTCCAACTCTGTATTCCCGTAATACCACACGGGCTATTGAGGGAAATCGCCATTAGGCTTTTCTGTTGTAGTAAAGTCATTGCTGTGTGACTTCCAGTGTAATAGGCCTAACGATGCAAATGGTTGGAGTCACGGAGTCACCAAAGGTCACAGCTCCTGTCAACCATAACTGGCTGAGAACTAGTTAGCTCACACTCACCAGTCTTTTAGCTGACAAATATAAATAATCATACATATAATAATCCGCTGGAAGGACGATGTACGCACGTCATTTCCAAACAGCAATGGAGGAACTTGGAAGTATACCAATACCACACTGTGGAAAATACTCTGTTACAAGTAAAAGTCCTGCACTGACAGTATTATTTAAAAATAAAAATATATGAAACATAAATACTTATTTTATAAGCTGAACATTTGTGTGTAAAATTGTATTAGCAAAGTAACTAGATGTCAAATAAATGTAGTGGAGTACAAGATACAATATCTTCATTCAGTGTGTATGAACAAAGTATACAGTAAAACGTTTAGGATGGATCTGTGAACTTACTTCACTGTGGGATGTATTTTTAAATCCAAACCCTTCCAGATAAAGTATATATAGTAAAGCCCAAAATCCTTATAATAGCTTTTATTCCCATACATTGGGAACACTGCACATTCTATTCCAAATCAAAACATGAAAAAAAATTCTCAAATTTGTTTATTTACTTTACTGAAAGTGAAGAAAAAGGAATATTAGGCTGTTCAAATAAATAGCAGTCTGCATTTGTCTCAAACATTTACTGTAAAAACTGAAAAATGCTTGAACATTTGGCTTTCCTGTGAATCACTGAACTAATATTTAGTTGTATAACCACTGTTTCTGAGAACTGCTTCACATCTGTGTTGCCTGGAGTCGACCAACTTCTGGAATACCTGTGAACAGGTATTCCAGCCCAGGACGATTGGACTACATTCCACAATTCCTCTGCATTTCTTGGTTTTGCCTCAGAAACAGCATTTGTGATGTCATCCCACAAGTTTTATATTGGATTAAGGTCCGGGGATTGGGCTGGCCACTCCATAACGTTACTCTTGTTGGTCTGGAACAAAGATGCTGCTCGCCTAATTCAGGGTCTATGGGCCACAGACAGTTTGTCAGACGACCCCCAAACACTGAATTCAAGCCACACAGTACACTGTGAAGACAGTGAAGCTTGGTGGCGCAAGCATCATGATATGGGGATGTTTCTCATACTATGGTGTCGGGCCTATTTATCGCATACCAGGGATCATGGATCAGTTTACTTCAAAATACTTGAAGAGGTCATGTTGCCTTATGCCGAAGAGGAAATGCCATTGAAATGGGTGTTTCAACAAGACAACGACCCCAAACACACCAGTAAGTGAGCAGCATCTTGGTTCCAGACCAGTTTATACAGTAAATGTTTGAGTTTGTAAAGACAGATGCAGAAACTGCTATTTTTTTCTCAACAGATTATTTGCCATTGCAATAACACAACTCCAGCTGTTACAGAAACATTATTGCATTTTGACTAAAGGACATCTTCCTCCACACTAGATGGTTTTTTTTGGTGACAAAATGTGTAATTAGTGATTTGTATTGATATCAATGACAAAACACAAACTATGTATGCATTATTGGATTTTATTTGGACTCAGCTAATACCAATTACATGTTAATAAAATGCTCAGTTTGAACTAACTTTCTTTTACAGAGTTGATGTTCAGTAAAAAGGCTGGCAACATATCCGAGATGATGAACAGATTCATGAACATAGTAAAATACTTTTGGTATAGTTTGGCAATGTTTAGTCTGTCAAAAACTTGCGATGTGGATAATTGATATGATTTGGTTCACTTTAGAAGCTGTGTTTTGTGCAAAGTAAGAAAGTAACTCCATTTCTAACGCTCTTTTCTCGATTGTGCTCTACGAACGGTTCACGAACAGAACTGTTGCTTCCTCACTGATGCAGTGATAATGACAACACCTCCTTTCTGTGAGCCACACACACATTGTTTTTTTCCCAAATAAAGCTGCTTCACAATTTCCATTATTGAACACCATTGTGTAAGAGCAGGCACACTGCACTATGAGTCTTTCTTCTAGTGCAACAATTCAGCTGGTATTGGAAACCTCAAGATAAATGTGAAATGATGGCCGTTACACGGTTGATTATTTTTAAATGATACATAGAAAAGTTTAGATACTTTGTAAACGCACTTAAAAGTATAAAATAGTCCAGTATGACATTTCTGTCATTATTCCATTTGGTTATTCATCTATCATAGCAAATTATTTAGCAATTCAAATCTGACATCAGATATGCTGGAAGAAGAAAAAGAGACATTGCAGTAGCAACAGCGTCAAAAGAAAATGAGCTTATATCTGATTTGGTTAAAAATAGAAAACTGTAAACATACGTGAACACAGTTTCTAGTGTTGCTTTAGTTGCTCAGTATATTAAAAAATGTTTAGCGGATTTAGTCCACCTCCTGTGCAATCTAACTTTAGAGACTAGATGCACACATCTCTACTTAGTTAAAAGGTCCGACTTTCATAAATAATATTTGACAACATTTTGGGTTCATTTCTGATCTTCAAAAACTGCCCCACATAAATCTAAGAGCCAGCACAACACTGTATGGCAGAACATCCCATCACCTCATACGATCATCTTGTGTACCTGGTTTAATAAACAGAAAAGAAAGCCATCATGCACACATCTCCTTGTGAATGTAATTAAAACATTAGTGACATTAATTAAGACTCTTTACAGCATTAAGACCTCTCAGTGTATCTCATTATAAAAAACTAATTATACACCAATCAAGTCACAGAGTCTCCGACACCAAGAGCTGTTGGTTGTTGTTTGATACGACATGTTTTTTCTTCTCACACACCCACATTCAAGAAGAACTGAGATAGATCTTTACGCATATATTAGAAAATAGGTTCTTCGGCTCTACAAAATCCCTTACATTTGACTGTTTCTTTACCCCAAACTGAAGGCAAAGTTTTTACATGAACGATTACATGATGGATTACAAGATGTATAAAAAAAAAACCAATATGTAGCATCCCCAGATCTGATTGGAAACAAAAGGGAGTCAACCTGTTTCACAGGCAGCAACCACAATTCACTATCGTGACATTCCCCATCTCCTCGTACACTTTTGCTCAGCCAGCTTTACGCCACCTGGCTGTTATGGCCCCACAGACTCTATAGTGTTTGGTTTAATGGTCGTGGAAGCCTGGCATGGGAAAGGGCCTGGCAAAAGCTTCAACGCGATGGCGCAGGTTGGCGATGCGAGTCACGGTCTCTGGGTCCTGAAGAAGGAAGTTCTTGAATTCCTGGAGCTTTCCTAAAGAGAAAGAAAAGGCTCAGCTTTCCCTCATGGCCATTCAGCTTCCTTTATTTTATCAGCATTGGGCTTTTTGCTCCAGCTAATGTTTTAGTATTCAACAATCTAACAGAACACACAGCATATTGTACTTTTGTTGCCTCTCTAATAATGACATAGTTTTCAAAATAAAAAGGCAAAAATCTGAGGCCCATGTTGTTGTCAAATACATTGTTATCGGTCTCCCCTCTCACAGTACGCTTACCAGTCTTTTTCTTGACATCCAAGGCGATCTTGAAGCCTTCATCCATGAGCTCGACAACTTTCACAAAGTCAGCTTCTTTGAACTGTCTGGATGTCAGGGCTGGAGCACCTGGGTTGGAGAAGAACACAAAATGTGCAGCTTGAAGTACAAAGTCAGGACTGTCATTCACTTCCTTTTGCTTCTACAGGTTTAACGGTCTCTGATACATTTTCCTGCGTTATATTCTATTTCGGAACCATATGGTGCTTTGGAAAAAAAACAACAGAGCCCTAGAGCTTCTTGAAATATCAGTAATAAATCTACAGACTCCAGATGGGTCAAACCAACAATGATGCCGATGGCCGATGGGTCGTTACGGTGCAGATCAAATCTCAATCGAATAAACTGCTGAGGAGGTAATAAGTGCAGTTTCTCGCCTTAAGACAATGCTAAAAATGTGGCGGTGTAGATGTGGAGCTCTTGAACTTCCTGGAAGATGATTAAAAACCCAAACATACTTAATTAATCATGATCTGCTCAGTGCTTGTGGCTTAATTGGTGGCTGACTAATTTCCATATGCAGAACTACAGAACTACTTTCTTTTTAAAAGTGAGTGAAATTAAGTAAAGAAGATGCTTCGTGACAAGTAAATTCGAGTTGACGATCATATCAAGACCGATTACCTTGACATAACTTACAGGTATTTTGGGGTTGGAAACTTTTTGAATACACAAATAAGCACCATTTTCTTTATGTGGTCTCTGAAGTAATCCTTGATGATAAGTATGACAAGATCCTGTCTGAGTCAAGCTAAACGCAGTGTAATGTGAAGCTGCTCCTCACCTAGCCTGAGGCCACCAGGAGTCAGGGCGCTCTTGTCCCCGGGGCAGGTGTTCTTATTTGCGGTGATTGAAGCAAGCTCCAGCACCCTCTCGGCCCGAGCCCCGTCAATGCCCTTAGGCCGCAGATCAACCAGGACCAGGTGGTTGTCGGTCCCGTCTGAAATATTCAGCATTCGTAGTAAAACACATTTGAAGGAAGGAGGAGGAAAGTCCAAAGCTTTGTAGACACAAATTTCCCTTTTAAGCCTTTGATCGGACCACCTCAACACTAGTTTAACATGGATGAGGTAACGCAACTAGATTTGTTATCTGTAGGATATGAAACGGACTGCGGTTAACGATGAAGCCAAATTATTGTTGAGTAATGTGTTGTCAGGGCCGCCAATGCTTCACATCTTCACAAGTTCTTGTGCATCTGCTATATTTTCATCTGAGCACTGTATTTATGTTAGATGTATACAGTATATAGATAGGTTTTACTTCATACCTTCATAGGTACTCTTAGCTAAGAGTAATCTAGTCTAATACAACATTTCTGAGGCTAAAGGTCGGGTGCTGCTGATCTGTATTGCATTATAGAGAGAGGTGTTTCTATAGTTTTGTCTCTCTTTATATGAAGGAGCGTTGGCTACATCAGACACAAACTACACCCTCTGAAATGATCACAGTTAAATCACCACCTCTCTTAAATCAATGCAGTCTAATACAACAATCCTGCAATACATCCTACCTTACTTAAGTAAGATGCATCTAATGAACTGAAAACTGAGTTTATATTGTAGATAAATGTAATACATTTTCCCTCAGCTATCACTACAACCAACTTACTTGAGTTAGTACACACTCCTTTTTACAAGTTTCCTGTTGACTGTGACCCTAACACTCTTTTTACACATACATCTACAAAGAGATTGAAAAAAGGAGCATGCACACAATGCAGTGTCAGCACAGGACAAGTCTGTATTTTTTAGGGCATCAATTGAAGGCTATACATCAAAAAAGAGCTGAGGCCAGCGGATTAAATGCAGTACAAGATTCAAGCATTCGCTCACAACCGGAAAGTGACCACTTTCATCTGGTTTTATTTCCTTGACTGACAGGACAGCTACACTGGCATTAGCCTCTTTGCACTTCATGAATTTAAATGCCTTTTTTCCCTGTCATGTAATTTGCATTTTGTGACAGGACATTTCTCTTTATTGACTGGGTTGTGTGTTGTTTCAGTGTTTCTTTCTGCTGTTTGCTGAGCCAGTGTCTCCCTGTGAATTACTAAAAACAATGTTTTAATACAAGTTAGATTACCTGATACCAGGGTGTAGCCTTTGCTGAGGAGAGCACCGGCCATAGACTTGGCGTTCCTCAGTACCTGGGAGATGTACTCCTTGAACATGGGAGACTGTGTCTGGATACAAACACACACAAAATAACAAAAGGGTTGAGCAAGACAGAACTACAGTTAGAGTTTGCTTGTTTTCAGTTGGGGCTGAGAAATTATTAATCAGATATGAAGAATATCAGATATTATAAAAACATATGTTGTTACAAGTGAGAGACATTTGCCCTTCCATCCTCTTTAACGGATTCAATTTCAATCGCTGTCTCGCACAACATTAGGATCCAGTTCACAGTTGAGGAGGAGAAGTAACCGATGCCCACTGTAGCTCATGGAACAAGTTCCTTTGTCAAGTAGAACCAATGCAATTCAATGGTAACATTTTGTTTCACTGTTAAAATTGGATCAAAGTCATCAAGTTCTTATTAGGAAATACCAGACCAAGGTAATTAAGTGTTATATCAATACAAATAAAGTTGAAATCGGGCGTTAGTTAGTGTGTTGTGCTGACCTGTCTGAGTGCCACAGCCACACCAGCGATGGCGTGATTATGAGGTCCGCCCTGCAGGGAGGGGAACACAGAGAAGTTGACCTTGTCCTCAAGATCGTACATGACCTCCTTCCCCTTCTTGTCCACTGAGCGAACGCCCTTACGATAGAAGATGATGCCAGCCCTGAACAGAACGGACTAATTAACTGACAAAGCATTTTCAACGTTGACTTTCTCTCTACAACCCAACAAGGCTCAACAGCTATCTCATTGGAAGGGAATCAAAACATCACAAAATTACTATAAGCACAATTAACAAACAATAACTAACTAAAATGATGCAGCGGCGTCTCTTGTTCTTACCGGACTCCTCGGAGGGACTTGTGTGTGGTGGAGGTGACCAGGTCAGCATGGTCAAAGGGAGAGGGGACGGCTTTGGCGGCCACCAGGCCACTGATGTGAGCCATATCAGCCAGCAGGTAGGCCTTAATGTCAGTACTCAGCTGAGGGTGAAGAGAGGGAACAAACACAACATTAGGATTCACATGTATGAAACATGAAACAGGACATTTTCACACAAATTATATTTACATTTGAACTTTTTCAGTACAAGACCCTAAATCCCCAATCTAGACGTAAACACACTCAAACCTCCACTCAGCTGTCATTCAGCACGGCAGTTTCAGTCCCTGCTTAATTTAAAATCTGGAACACAGAGCAAAAATGTGAACTGACAAATATTTATACCAAATATATATTCATGCATATATTATCATTGATGTATAGGGTGCTACCAGAAACCATTATAGTTATTATAAAACTAAACTATATACCTAAACTTGCTGCATATTATATTTAAATGCGAGATAAAACCTCTTGGCGCTAAAACATTAGCATTTTACCCCCACCGTTAACATTTGATGATAACTCTACATCTGTAAGCAGTACCTATCTTCTCAAAGGCCAGACATTTCAAACAGGAGCTGCTGTTATTACACTCCTCGGTGGTCTTCAGAGGCCCGAAATATTACAGCGTAATTCAATAAATCCTTGCAGTCTCTTGCCAGCATTTATTGAAAAAGGCAAAACCAATAAATAGCTCGCTAACATGCAAATGACTCGCTGGCGAATGATCAGAGCGGTAAACAATCTTTTTAGTGTTCCAATTAATATTCATTATCATGACAATCTTCCTTTCCACTGATATCTAAACTGGATCAGCACATGTTCATTAGATTAAGAGGCAGGGTTACTGGAGGGGGTAAAGAACACAAGAGGGTGACGTGCAGTAGCTGATGAACGCCGATAGTGAAACAAATTTATACAAAATAAATTAAAAAAGGCTGCTCAAATCTAGGTAACAACACTCTGAAAATCTGGAGAGGAGCCCGGCCTGGCAGATTCTGCCATAAAACAGTAAATAGTTCCGCAGAGACACGCCAGGGGAAAAATATGGCCCCTACTTCAGGCCTAGTGGCAAAGTAGTTATGGTGCTTAATAAAAACACAGCTCCGTAATGGTGGGACACTCCATCTGACGGTACTAGCTAAAGTGGGGCTCTGCAGCAACAAAGGGAAGCAGTCACGGAGTGAATGAAGTGAATCAGCGGGTGGGTATAGCAAAACAGATAAAAGGGCCTCTTGTGCACTGCCAAAGAGGGCAGTGAAGTGAGCAGTTAAAAGTTGCTGCCTTGCACGCGCGAGTCAGTGCGAGCATGCACGTTCAGTTTGGATGAGTAGGCAGGAGAAAAGCATCTGTGTCGTGAGAGACACTACAATTGGGTTTGCGTCGGGATGTGTTGAAGTTTGTAAGTGAATGCTCAGTATTTAGAGCAGACAGGTCTCCACTGTGGGAAAGGAATTAGTGAAGATATGGTGGGGGGGGGGGGTGATCCTGGCGAGGTAACAGCCTGCTTTCAGCGAGAGGAGCAGGTGTGAGTGACAGTTCAGAGGAAAAGGTTGACCGAGTTTTAGATACGAGTAATAAGCTGCTCTGACCCTCATATTGCAGAATGAGAAAACAGGTAGCAGGAGAGGATGAGGTAGAGCAACACACACACACACACACACACACACACACACACACACA